TGACGACTTTTCATTTGGTGCAGTGGATGCAAAGGACTGAGAGAACACGAGCATGGTTGGCTCACAATTTGTGTGGACGCTATACAATACGGTCTTACATTATTGGATGGCTCTTCTTTTTCGGTTAGGGTAAGGGTCCAAATCATCCGTGCGATGCTAGCCATAAGGACTTCCTGAGACTGTCCCGAGTTTTATTGAAGGACGAATAGCTTTCTGCACGGTTACAAGGGCAACCGGAAGTTAGCAACCACAGATTCATCATAACTTTCAATATTCAGCTGGTATCACGCACTATTTCCTTGCATTCCTACACTGGATCGCGGATTTCCCATTCGCATTACCCGCGAGACACTTCTCAATCTCCGACACAACATTAGCAAGATGACTGCAAGAGTCAGTCAGCGGTTCACTCGCTAGCGCAGTTACGAAAAGACCAAGCGCAACACTCACAAGCCCGTCAAGGTAACCAGCGCTTGGGCTTCTCTCGGGTTCGCACCATGTACGACATCAAGCCTCTCGACCAGCTATGTACCGTCTGTGAAGATACACCCCCACCGGAGGACGTCACCCGATTACGGGAGTGTGAGCATTACCCTGGCGTATGTCGGAGCGGCATCGACAAATAGCTGGACAGCGATGTGGATAACACTACTATCGCTCGTAATCCTTGTCATTCAAGACAGTGTTCTACAGAGTTTGCAGTGAAGGATGTCGATGTTTTCGCGTTCGCTGAACTATTTGATCGGCAAGCCTTCCCATTTTTGACTCACTTGCCGTTGTCGATGTGTGTAGCTACGAGAAACTGATTCTCCAAACATTGCTGCACGGATTCCCAACCTCTGCTATCGCATCCGGTCAGGTACCTTTGAGCTACATGACGCTAGGGATAGAAAAACATTCATCTGCAACCTGCGGCCTTGAAAGCTGCGTACACAATAACTCTGATTTTCACTTTGGCGAGACATGCGAGCAACACGACTCGTGAAAAGGTCAGTGAGACTATAGAATTCTTAAACATGAACAAGGCTACCATGGCTGTGAACTATGAGATAAAGGGGACGGCGATTTGCTTGGAGGCTGTAGCTTAATCGTTCGACGAGGTTGAGCGGGAAATCACACTTTTCATTCAGGTTTCAGTCACGCGATATGGTGGGTTTCAGCCGTCGCCAGTATGCGAGCTGTGGAGAGCAAGTCAAGCTACCAGTCATTCGATTGACTCAGGGTAGCTATTGGATCGGCTGAAGATTGAGCTAAAGTCATAGACTTCAACCCCGCTTAAGGGCCCAAAGATCAAAAAGTGAGCCCAGTAATGTTGTTTCACACGTCCCCCCGGGTTATGACTTTAGCGCACCAGCCACAATCCGGGCGGCATACCACTGACAATGGTTACACGAAGGGTCACAGTATAATATAAAAGGTACACGCGTGCACTATATCTGCTGTACCAAGGACCTTCTTCATACTGGGGAGACTTGACGCTGGCAGTTACAGTCTAAGCCTCACACTATCTCAATCTGAAAATACACAGGTATCTCTTAATCCACCAACAAAAGAAATCATTATGTCCAGTTTATAACGTAAGAAATCCGAAGCGGTGCGTTGGTTCCTTTGAAACAACGTCACCAAACACGGTCGACCATTGGCCCTAACCTCGAGGACTCAAGTTGTGACAACATTCGGAGGTTTCCAGAGCAGGGCTACAACATGTTGTGACTATGTCGCGACAGTCACACGCATTCGCGGAGTCATGGTGTAGTATAAATTGAGGTTTCAGGACTACTCTCCTTCGATATCAAGCCTCTACATCAATTCACATCGATACATCGATCCTCATACGCTGTATTCAGTGGCAGCCATAAGACAATCTCAGCGATTTACTCCCCGTTCCTCGAATAATTCGGATACAAGATACCTAGGGACCCTCAAACCAAAACAGATTCCCAGAATGTCTTCAGGATCGAACAGTTACCGCAACCCTGACAATAAGAAGATGTCCGAAGAAGAACAAAATATTAGCTCAAGCTACAGCTACAGCACAGCACTACACGCCTATCGCCCTAAGGCGCCAAGCAATGACGCCGAAGCTTCCAACGCAAAAGGAGCAGGAGGTGGAGAGAGCGGCCAGAGTGCAGTATCAGAGGGCAAGAGCTCACTCAAGTTTATGGCCACGCCGGTGCCGAAAGATACAAGTGACGGAGCAGAGAAACGTAAGATGGTCACAGTGACATTGAAGCCTAAGGTCAAGGGAAAAGATACCAAGGACGAGGGGGATAGTCCACAGGAGAATTGACCGAGAACATGATTTTGTGGATACCAGAAATGAGATTGTTGAGATAGATGAGCAGGACGAAAAGGAAACGTCGGATTTGAAGCTACTGTACCAGCAACAGTAAGACTATTGCATAGATCCAATCTCAAACGGTGTTTCTAGTTGGTCATTGTAATGCAAGCGCAAGTTCTAGGGATACCGTATCTTTGAGATGTTAAACATCATCCGCAAGCGCTTTTCCATCCATGACATGCGGGGGGTACGTAGGTAAGGGTGCCTTTACAACTTCAACTTCGGATTCGAGAGGCTGTGCTGCATGTGCGGTATTATGCGAACTTGCTGGCATGGTTGTGTACGAACGTATAGCCGTTAACTTCATGTAGCGTCTACGAATAACTTGACCAAAGGCTCACGTCATGTGTTCGTGACAATCACTTAGTGTTGAAGCTGTCGAAGGGTGACGGCCAGTGTCCCGTTGCGAGAGAAATGGACACGCGACGATGCCTAAAGACGCATCGAGCGTTCCAAGGTTGACATGAGTTATAGAGTCACGTAGAGCCTATGACGAGGCTATACAGATGAGGGGATGAGCGACGAATTGCTGCAGTGTGTGCAAATGATGTAAGTGGTGTAGTAGATGGTACCTGTAAACGACAAAGAAGGTGATGATGCCACCTGCAAGATTGACTGGCCTTGGTGGGGCTCAACAGCGTCACGCGTCGCGGCGCGTTCTTCAGCACCAAGCCCGCTTTCCACACCTCACGCAGCTGTGTACACATTGCGATATCTCAGCTAATACTCTCTGGTCTTGCGATACGCTACCTCCGGAGACGCAACACATAGTTGGTCCGCTAGTCTTCCGCCGGCTTCCAAGGTTCTTGCGGACGCGACGCTCCAAATCACGCAAAATGCTATGCACACGCCGTAGCAGTCTGCATGGCGCGTCTAACACGGAACTTCGAGAGATTACGCGACTCTTGAAACGACAAAGTCGCAGTCGTATGCCACACGATGCCATATGTTATACTTCAGACAGGCTGGTCTGTCGACAGCAGCAGCCCCACACGTCAAACGCGTAACGTCCTACAACATCTGACCCGATTGTATTGCGTACCAGCTACCCTACTGGGTCAGAGATCTTCTTGTCATTCATGGTAATGATTCATTATGCTACTGTCCTAATCTTAACACCATAGCGTAACAGGCCCACGAATAACCTCCGGCAAACCTCGAGATATCCAAATACCCACCGTCTCGATGCGCGACACCCAACCGAAGTCGCTACTCAAACTGGCGTATGCGATCGATATCCTTTCCGCGATACAGTCACCTTCATGCAAATCCGCGCGATACTGCCTTGGTTACGGGCCAACGGAATGAACAACACTATGGCTGGGCCGACCTAAGATGCACATCAACATCTAGGCCAAAGGATAGAGACTAGTCAATACCCATATTAGGCACTGTACTTTTGGATCACAGCGTGCCTGATATGCACGAAATACCCAGGGTGTCTGGACATAGATATTTCACCCAAGTGGTGTAGGGATGTGGTGGAAAAGGCCGACTACACAAGCTTGAATCAAACACCACTATGCGCATCCGTCCAAAATCGCCAGATAACTCAGCCAACGCCACCCTAGTACTCCGGCCATTGCTACTGCATCTCGGCTTCTTTGAGGATATGCAGACAGTTTAAAGCTCATCCGAAAGGAGATCAACAATACTCATCAACGATCCTCCATCGTATGTGTTTAGAACGTGAACAAAGCTAGAGGCCACATGAGGTAAACAGCCGGTAAAACCGTGAAGCAATGATTGAGCAAATAGTTGGTATCCTTTGTGGGCTTGATGTCTGCACGCAGCCTCACGTTGGCGTTTGTCAGTTGTTCCTTTGTTACTCATCATTGACCCCAACGGTAGAAGACATACACAAAGCAGGTACAGCGCAACATGGGCCTTCGGCACATGTTTGATTCTATAGATATGGCAAACTGTATAGAAGCTGATGGAGATTCAAGATGCGAATTCTCAATAGCTAGATGCACCCTACGAAGCCACTTCTGGACTTCACTATAGCTTCGGAAGTCTTAAAACTCCTTACACGGCATCATGACGAAAGGGCCACCGTACAAAACCGGGCAACCTTACTTTAAGAGGACTTTCGAGACATGGTGTCGGACTAACCGACCAGGATGGTCAAGAGGTAAGCCTTCAAAGATGGGCATGCTGAGATGGTAGCTTACTCTATTAGACGATGTGAGATTGACCGCTCAGACCTTGTGGCATGGAGACATGGTCATTCAAAACTTTTTCCTCCGTAAGGTTGGGAAGAATTTTAAGTATCCTATGCAGCAACAACATCAGGTGCCAGCCGCACCATGGACCCAAAATGATGTAGACTTAGCAAGGGCAACTAGACAGCTACCTGGTGTTGCACTTCCTGTCATTGCGCCTGTTCCGGCAGCTCTTCCGGCAGCTCCGCCAGTTCAACCCTACCCCTGCAGCTTTTGGCCCAACAGGCCGTGGCACCCAGATCCAGAAGACGCTTCTATCGGTCCGGAAATTACGATCGAGGCCATCAAGGATGACGTGTTTGAGGAGAGCCCTAGAGCAGACTGGATGGCTACAAAGCCATTCTTTTGGCCAATCCAAGATGAGCAAAACTGGGAGAACAAGAGATTTCTCGGCGCTGGGGCCTCTGGCTGTGCGGGATTGTGGTGTCAAAGTGATGCCCAAGGTAACATATCAAGGGTATGTGACTTCAGGCATAGGATCATTACTCGGGTTTGAGAGAGCGTGCTGACAAAGAACAGCGGATGGTTATCAAGGAAGCGAGGCCTGACAAGATCCAATGGCGTGACCTTTGCTTTTGGCGAGATCAGTTGCCGTGCGAGATCCACATGCACCAGCTAGTCGAAAACGGCCGCGTGGTATCTGATAGCGACGATGAGCCCGCTGGTTCTGATCATGAAACTCTGGTCAGACATCATGGTTACCGCTTGATGATGACCCAGCGGCGTTATCGCATCTTCTTCGACTACTACGAAGGCGGCAATCTTTGGCATGCTTTAGAAAAGCACTGCACCAGGATGAAGACATTCTATACCCAAGGCGAGGAACCAGGGCTTGATCATGACTGGGATGAGGAGTTCGGTTGCTACCGTGACTCAGAAGCGGTGCCCGGCGAGGCGGGATTGTGTGAGAAGATATCCGAAGGCCTTATCTGGAGAATTGCTAGCTCGCTCGTTCAAGCGTGTCAGATCCTGCATTTCGGCCAGGTCAGTATTGGAGGTGTGCAGAACACCACACCTGATTGGAAAGCGATCAAACACTGCGATATAAGACTTGACAACATCTTCATCAAGCCAGCGGCTGAGGAGAACGAGAACGAGGTCTGTGATCAACCTCCGCAGGATACGTTGGAGATCGTGTGTGCTAACCGTACCAGTACCCAATATTCGTCTTGGCAGACTTCGGCCTCTCGTTTACGGACATGGGTGCTCCTGCAACTGACAACCCATATGAGTATGTCAGGGAAATGACAGACGAACGATTTGCGCCTGTGAGTAACAAGGCTACAATCCGTATGTTTTTACAAAGTTAATTAGATGCAGGAACACCAGTTTGTAGTCAACGACGCAGCAGAAAGCGCTGGGGTAGTACCCCTAGACGAAAAGACAGATGTATGGCAGATGTACGTACACCACCATAGAATACCCGTTCGAATTTTACTAACTACAACCCTAGTGGTGCAGTACTTTACTCATTACTCAGCAATGGTTTCTTCCCCCCTCTCGGCCAAGGGCCATGTCGCTTTGTCGAGAAATTTAACGTAACTGTACCTTTCGCCGGCGACCTGAGAACCATCGTCGACCCAGAGGATGACCCATGGAATGACATGTATTTCTTTCCTACTTTCAAACGTTACAGCGAGGATCTGAAGCGGTTGGCGTTCGAGTGTCTGGCATGGCAATCGAGTGAACGGCCGACGTTATTGGAGATGAGGAATAGGATCGATGATTTTCTTGGGACGCACCCGGATGTTGCGAATGATCGGAATATGGAGTCGCTAGAGGTCGTTCGAGATTTGGAATTCGCGATTGGGAAACCTATGAACTAGACGCGGCTTTAGTCTTGGCAGATCGATGCGCGACTTTGAAATCTGTACGCGCCCAAAGCTATGGCAACGGCTTCACAATATGCACTAACCTATCTGTAAATACGTGCTTGTATCCATGTCTTTGTCCTTCCGCATCAGCCATCTCCCGGCGTCGGCATAAGTGCCGCAACAGGAAGTTTGCATCTCTTTGTTCGGCCGTTGTAGTCCTGAACGCACCTTGCCGATGTAGCCTTTCGGGAAACAAGTCGAATGACAAGTTGTTCTAGCACATCCACCAATGCCACGGAAGTCACCACCCTATAAATCCGGTCTGCCCTACTTCAAACGCGACTGCGAAGCCTACTTCCCCACTAATGCCTCGACCGTTACATGGAGCCGCGCCGAGCAAAACAACACGGTCAACACGTTATGGTATGGTAGTCGGATTATCCGCGATTACTACAACGCGCGGATCGGGCGACGAGAATTATTTGGTCTACCAACACCAAACCCCATACCAGATAACCCGTTCAATGCGAGCGACGTCACGTTTGCGCGCACAAATAAGAGTATGCCGACGTATCGTGATGGATTGGGAGGAACGGAGCCGGCGTGGGTGAATGCTCCAGCGGGATTCGGCGCGCTTGCGATGACTGTGCCACCGCCCGCTGTGGTCGTTGCTGGCCCTGTTGCAGCGCCTGTTCGTGCCGTTACAGTATCGCAACCACGGCCAGTGAACCGATATCCCTTCAACTTCTGGCCACCTAAGCCGTGGGATGCGGAGCCAGATGATGCGACCTTAGGCATGACCATAAAAGCCATCAAGTCTAAAGAAGAGCCCGAGAATGGTGAGAGATGGATGGATGATACCCATGATCCATATGGCGACGGAAGAAGGTGGATAGGCGGGAAGTTTCTAGGTGCAGGCACTTTTGGATGTGCAGGTTTGTGGTGCGCAGTCGACGACAACAACATCGTGACGGCCAGAATAGTCGTTAAAGAAGTCCGCCCACATAACTGGAAATGGCGGGATCCAGCGTATTGGAGAGATTATCTTCCGCGTGAAATTCGCATACATGAGCGTATTGACGCGAATCGACCCGCCGCTGGCGCTGATACCTCAGGCTATGATAACTTGTTGAGGCATTTAGGGTACAGATTGATGATGCAGCAGCGCCGCTTCAAACTGTACCTGGACTTCTGTGAAGGTGGCGATTTATTCCAGGGATTGAAAGAGCACTTTGACCGATGGAAAAGAGGACAAGCGACGGATAAAATTGAGCGACTCAAAGTCGTACCAGAGAGCTTGGTCTGGCATGTACTGTCGCAGCTTGTTGATGCATGCCTGGTCCTCCAAACGGGATCGAAAGATCCCGCGACAGCGGAGTCGGCTTGGCCACCAATCACGCATCTCGATATCTCGTTGAGCAACATCTTCCTGGAGCCAGCGGCTGACGATGCTTATCCAAACTGTGTCTTGAGCGACTTTGGTATGGCAATGTATGATCTGGAGCAGAGTGATCCCGCAGTGAGACCCTCAGACAACCCTCAGGAGTACGTGCTCGGACACACCAGTTGCAAGTACCCTCCCGTAAGTCAAATCTGCTCGGTATCGAGACACCCAGAATAACTCGTGCTAATCGCATCAGGAGCAACAACTTGCACGAGGCACTCCGCCTGACTTGACACCTTTGAATGAGAAGTCAGATGTTTGGAGTATCGGAGCCGCAGTCTGGTATATGATTGCGAATCGCTCGGTCGCTGGTCCGCAGCGCGAACTGCATTACTCGGAGGACATGCCGCAAAACGTGAACATTGGCGAAGCGGATCATGGGCGACTAGACGAGCCCGGGGCGAAACCGTTTGAAGGTTTGGGCTTTCCGGCGCTGAGCAAATACTCGGAAGAGCTGAGGTCGTTGGTTGCGCGCTGCATGAACTGGGAGCAAGAGCATCGGCCAGATCTAGCAACATTGAGGGCCAAGATCAATGCGTATCTGGCAAGCCACCCGAAAGTGAAGGATAGCAGAGACTTTGGGCCGCTGAGAATGTCGAATCTGGAACAAGGACTGGGGATTGGAGACACATTTGTAAGAAAGAGGCGAAAACCGGTCGCAGGAAAGCAAGCCCGTAAAAGGCGAAAGGAAGACGAAGATAATAGTGAAGAGTGATTAGATGCCGTTGAATGCGAGTTTCGCTTGGAAAGACTCCGTCGTCCGGCAGGACTAAGCTGTTTTTCGCAGGCGAAAGTAGAGTGTTTTTGATAGCACTTTGTCCATCTTCCCTTTGCCTGCGCTGTCCAGCCCCTCCGTTCCACCTGTTATCGTTGCCGATTACTGGTTTTGCGTGCATGTTCGAATCGATATCCGCCTAACCGTACACGAGTGCCCGCGACGAGCGATTCTTCATGTCCATGCTCGCCTCTGTTCCCGTCTATGTCCTGGTCCGAGTTTGCTCGTGCGATCGACTTCAGCAAGCTGCTTATCACCCAAAGGCATCGCGCAGCTGCTGGTGTGTATGATGGGTAGGGTATGGAATTCGGATCGGTAGGCCATGGCCTGTCAGACGGTTGGATTAGGTTCTCGGGTCGTGTTCTTTAGCGGTGCCGCTCCCGTGCTATCACGCGGTGATATTATCTGCTCTCTAATTTAGTCTTCGGGTCAGAATCTAGCAGAAGTGCGACATGCTCCAACATACCTCTCGCATAACCGATGCTGTTCGTCTTCGTGTATTCGCCGACATCCCAGCAAAATTAGCTGCCATGGCCTTGATAAGCCCTTACCATTGTGAGTCTGTTCTCGCATGAAGTAGGTGGTCAGCTGTAGCTACACATAGCTTTCGAGATCGTCAAATAATCCGAGTCTATTGCTGGAATAGAGACAACGCGGACACGGATCTAAATCGCTACGAAGGCCACGGGCCATTGAGGGGAGAATTGGAACGCGTTGTGTGCTAGGTGTGGGCCGTACTTGAAGTGAAGATGGTTGAGCATGGTAGTCGACCTCGGAATGTGACATCAGGGAAAGACGCGGTGGAACGTGCACGCTTATCTTATCCGACAGCGGTGGTGGAATACGACCAAGCCACTAGGTAGGAATACCGCAACAAACAAACATCTCTGCATCATTCAAGGGCATTGACGGAAAATACGAAACGGGTGTCATGCAGTGATCCTTTTCCTCAGCCACTACCGGCATCGATTTTTGACAATATTTAGGTAATCTCATTCCTCATCCTACCCTTCACTTTGTCATTGCACAACTGATCTCTTACTTCGTTGACCATCGCTTTACCTCACAACTTGAAGCTGTTCTGCACCAGCTTCTCACTCAAGGCCCACAGTCGATCGGCCAACTTAGGATCAGTCGCGTATGGCATCGCATCACACATCTGACAGTCAGACAGCATGATACCCTTTGATTCTAGTACGTTGTCAGTATTGAGTTTTGCGGACTGAACCTTCACTTACCGTCCAAAGCTGGGTCTAGCGCCGCAACTAGTACCGTCGCGGCACCTTGATCAAGGCTTTTCCAGAAGGGACTGACACTTCGGATCGCAGCCTCGCCATCCGCGTCCAGATTTCGACTGAGACCAGTCCAGATTGCTAAGCTCATCAGCGATTCTGAAACTACGCACTCAAAAGGCTTGCGCAGCGGGGTACTCACATCCGGGATGCACCGCATAACTTCTCACACCCTTTCCTCTGTAGTTCTCGTTCAAACCCACTGAAAACAGCATGTTCGCCGTCTTCGCCTGTCCATAGGCCAGCCACCCGTTGTATCCATCATCTGCGCCCTTCGCAAACTTCGGAGGAAGCTGCACGTGCCTCTCTTCTTCGGGTATCTCGTCTTTGCTCTTCTCCCAGTTGTAATCAGAGAATCGAACAGGGCTCAACCGATGACCAGCAGAAGTGAGGTTGATGACGCGGGTGGCACCTTCATCTGAAGAGGAAGCAGAAGCCAGAAGTTGATGCATGAGCAGGTTGGTCAAGAGGAAATGGCCAATATGGTTGGCGCCAAATTGACCTTCGAGGCCTTCTTTGGTAGTTTGACGCGCCGTTGTCATGATACCAGCATTGTTGATGATCAGATCCAAGCGGCTCGTCAATTGCGACACTTCTTTTGCAGCAGTCTTGACAGATTCTTGAGACATCAAGTCAAGAAGGACTACTTTGACTAAGACGTCTGGATAGACATCCTGGGTGCTCTTTACGACCTCTTCTAGTTTGGACTTGGTGCGTGAGGCGAAAACGAGGAGCGCTGGATTTTGGGAGGCGATCGAGAGGGCTATGGACGAGCCGATGCTTTCAGGGGATACACCGGTTATGAGCACTTGTTCAAGTCAACTTTGCTTTCAACAGCGTGAGCACGTTGAAGTCTTACCATTCTTGCCATGAATCTGCTCGGCAAAAGCTTTCGCGACTTCAAGACCGCCCGTCTTCTCATCCCATTCAGGATGAGTCAGAGTCGACATTTTGGCTCTCGATATATTCAAGAAGTAACAGTCTGAGCCTTAGAATCTTATTAAGGGGAGTGCGTAAGTCTCGCTCTTGCTCTCCCTGGGACTGAGCTTGTCTACCATAGCGACTTCCATCCGTAAGCATCGAGACTGCACGCGCATTTCCTCCCATGTCCACAGCATCTGTGTCGCCTTCGGGACAGCATGCGCTGGAAATGGACAAGTGCAGTTGGGGTGAAAGTTGCGGGGTACAAGCTGAAGGCGGGGAAGGTTAGCGCCATGTGGGGCAGCTACAACGTATACTTCGCGTCCCCAATGACCTCGCATCACGCGTCAACATCCTTTAACCGGCAGATATGGCGATCCACATCGCAATGATACGACTCCACCCCACGGAGGGGACATGCCGGAAGAAGCGTCCAGCACCTGCAGGCCCTCAGCGCCACGACTCGCGCTTGCAACCTCGGTCGTCGGTTCCATCTCGCCTGGTTGAAGTTACTGAGAAGGATGGGTACATGGCCATATCATCGGTAGATGCAGGGTTGCTGAGCCCCACGCTCACAAGCAATTACCTGGTCGATGCGTCTGGATACCTGGGACCTCTTCTCGCATCGAATCGCGTTGTGTTACCTTATTCCGCCCAGTCGTGAAGCTTGATTGAAGTCGCGCATGCCACTCCGTGCGAGAATAGACGAGACCAACCTCCCCAAGATGTCTTCTTTAGAGACCAACGACAACGGCCCAGTCACTAATGGCGCAAAGCCACAGACGGGCATCAAAGTCATTATCATCGGCGCAGGTACGTCCTTAGCAGTCCGTGCCACAGCCCCGTTCTAACACACATCACCAGGTTTCGGCGGCCTTACAGCAGCCATAGAATGCATCCGCCACGGCCACACACCCGTCATCTACGAATCCTTCCCCTCGCTCAAGATCCTCGGCGACATAATAACCTTCGGTCCCAACGCCGGGCGCATCTTTGCGCGTTGGAGTGATGGACGCGTCGCGCGCGACATGCGTAAGATCTCGATCGATCTCACCGAATACGGCTTCAACATCCACAAATGGGACACTGGCGAGATTGTCATAAACCAGAAGACACCACCACGCGACGAGAAGGCGCCGAACTTCAACGGGCACCGCGGTGAACTACACGAGATTGTGTTCAACTATGCCAAGGAGATTGGCGTCGAGATCAATTTGGGACAACGAGTGGAGAAATACTGGGAGGATGAGAAGGAGGCGGGCATCGTGCTAGAAGATGGCACGCGCGTTGCTGGCGATCTCGTGGTTGCAAGTGATGGTGTGCGAAGCAAGGCGAGAACACTGGTGTTGGGATACGAAGACAAGCCAAAGAGCAGTGGATACGCCGTATGGCGAGCTTGGTTCACCAACAAGGACATGATCGCAGACCCGGAGACAAAGCAGTTCTGCGAGAACGGCGATACCTTTAATGGATGGATCGGTGAGCCTTCTTCCACCCCACCTTTGAGACTAATCGCATGCTAACAACTTCGTAGGCCCAGACGTACACTTCCTCTTCAGCACCATCAAGAACGGCACCGACTGCTGCTGGGTGCTCACCCACCGTGACGACCACGACATCGACGAATCCTGGTCCTTCCCCGGCTACCTCAAAGACGTCAAGACTGTGTTGGACGGCTGGGATCCAATGTGCTGGAAAATCGTTTCCAAGACACCGGAAGAGAAACTCGTTGACTGGAAACTCGTATACCGGGACCCGTTGCCCAACTGGGTTTCAGGCTATGGCTCCGCGCCAGGTCACGGTCGGATATGCTTGCTAGGCGACGCAGCGCATCCCTTCCTTCCAACAAGTGCGCAAGGCGCGACGCAAGCACTCGAAGATGGTGTCACACTCGCCGTGTTACTACGAAAAGCTGGAAAGGATAACGTACGAGGCGCGTTACGAGCGTACCAGGATATACGCTACGATCGCGTCAAGGCTGTGCAGAAAACGGGTGAGACGACGAGGGACATGTGGCACAAGACAGACTGGGAGAAGGTGAAGAAGGACCCGACACTGATTCAGTTCCCAAGAGAGGATTGGGTATTCCACCATGATGCTGAGAAGCATGCGGAGGAACTGGGGGATGAGTCGATCAAGAAGGCTAGTGCTGTTGCTACGTAGATAAATCGAGCGGAATCCTCACAAGGATACACCCAACAAGATTTTAAAGCTCATTGAAAATGCTTCACGATGTGTCTGTGGCAAATGGTGTCAGGCTCTTATGATGTCTCCGAAAAAGTGCACAGCTCAGAGGCACGTAAGCCACGTCCAGCCTTGCGTCAGTTCGATAGTAACACCGGGACACATCAGCAATGACATCGAAGCAGAAAACGCGTAGTAGAAGGAGCAAGAAAATCGATTGATCCCAAGAGCAAAGCCTAACTATATGTGCGAGCCAGAGGCGTCAAGCGACGATATCTCCTTACAAATGGATCCACTCGTTGCAGCAAGTCATAGCTCAGCCACTCTTCTCCGCACCGACAACCTCGTGGTGCACAACCTCATCCTTGTCGCTATCACGGCTCTCGATCTTGTCGTCAGGACCAGCTGCAACACGGCCAGTACAGACGTACTTTCTGAACTTGCGCGCCGGAAGCCTAGCCTCAAACATCTCATCAATCTCTTCGAGAGTGCGGTTCTTGATCTCGGGCAGGTAGAAGTACACCCATGCTGCTGTGATGAAGC